CAGAGTACAATGATAATCACGTATTTGATCTTTTTCGTTCATGGCGCTGTTGCAATGGGACTCTGGACCCCTTTTCCATCTCAGTTGGTCATTGTCCTTACCCTCAAACTAAGGCCGGGTAATGGCCCCAGTACTCTCATTCTATTTCCTCTTGGCCATCTAAGTCTTGGGCATTGGACCCTGTTGGAAGACGAAGACGAAGACGAAGACGAAGACGAAGACGAAGACGAAGACGAAGACGAAGACGAAGACGAAGACGAAGACGAAGACGAAGACGAAGAAGAAGAAGAAGAAGCACGGACTCAAAAGACACAAGGGAACAAAGTCCAAGAGCAGACCACAGGGCAAAACCGACAGGAAATGAACTTCGATGCTGGATCCACAAACACCTGCAAATTAGTGAAAATTTGAAAAAAGAACACCATTCAGATGATGGAGAGAAGTGCAGAGAGATGTATAACACAAGCAAAAAACTCGACTTCTGAAAACAGAATGAACTCCGGACTTCGGACTCCACAAACAGAAATACGCTCACAGAATTTTGCATTTTCCTATGAAGTTACACACACACACACACACACACACACACACACACACACACACACACACACACACACACACACACACACACAATCCTCTTGATATATGTCCTTCTTCCTGTTTTTTTGTCTTGCTGTCTTTCTTGTATTTTTTTCCAAGTACTTTTTGCGTGCCCAACTGAGCACCTCTAAGCAGTGCCAAACAGTCGGTCATTCCTCTTTTGAAGTGCCTGTAGCACTCTTAGGGGGGACGCGCAAGTCAGGATGTCTGTGTCTCCTACGGGTGATGACTACTGTTTGTCGGTGTGACTCCTCGGCTCAACAGGTGGTAGGAACCAACAGTCGGCGGGGTTTTCAAGTTCTTGTTGTGTGAGTAGGTGATGGATGGCCTTGGCCCGTGTTGGGGGTGTGGACTGCCTTGTCCGTGCTCTCCGCTGCCTCGTTGCTGCTACCCGCTTGCCCGTTGTCTCCCCACATTGTTCCTTGCAGCTGATGTGGTGGTTGTGTGGCTCGGCAGTGTCGTTGATGTTGCCTTCTGCTTCATTGCGCTGTTGCTGTGCTGCCCATCCGCATGCCTTGTCTTCCCGTGCTCCTTGCTTGTGTGCTGTGTACTTTGGCCGCTTTGCAGTGTTGCTTTGTGCTTCGCTGTTTGGTTACCCTGCTGCTTGTCCGCTCGCTCTGTCTATCCATGCAGTCGCTTTTGGTGTTAAGCCGTTGGGTTGCCTCGGCAGAGTTGCCTGGTGCTTCACTGAGTCATTGCCCGCTGCTGAATTCCGCTCGTGGTGTTGTGGCTGGCAGTCTGTTTTCGACAAGGGTCAACGGGTTCGTGACCCAAAGCATCAATAGAGGGATTCCGCAGATTGTCGAGGGTTCAGCCTCCTGACGAGTCGGCGCAAGTCGTACGATACGATCTCTAATCCTCAGTTTTATTTTTTTCGGTCTTTTATTATTTCTTTTCTGGGCCTTGTCCTTTTTCTTGCTAGCTGATGGTTGTCGTTCCTTGCTTTTTGTGCTCGTCTGTTGTGTGCCCTCCCACCTCCCCCATGCCCTGCAGCCTATGTGTTGCCTCACTGCTTTCCTTTGCTGCTTTTTGCCTGGCCGTTTCTTACCTGCTGTTTATTGTCTCTTACCTGTCTTGTGCGTTTGTGTGTCGACTGCATGATTCTTGTTTCAGGTTTGTGAATCTGTGTTGAAGCGATCAATCTAGCCTATCATTGGGTTGAAAAAGCCCCGCATCGTAAGTGGGTGCATGATGGGGAATAGCTGTTAAGCCTGGCTCCCTGATACGTCACGTTTTTTTTTACGTGGCGCGTCTGCAGAAGAAATGCTGTTTGTATAATCAGTTTTACGTTCATCTGTCTTTCTCTTGTTGTTTGTCCTTCCTGCTATTTCTTCTGTACTCTGTGTGTGTCTGAGTGAGCACCTTTAGGAAATGGTAAACAGTCGGTGTTGGGGTGTTTGGAGTGCCTGTAGCCTACGTGGCACCCTCGGCCGCGGCCGCAGGATCCTAGTCTGCGGCCGACCTCCTAGGCCGCAGGCCCGCGGCCAAGTCCGCGCGCGGCCGCGCCACGCCCAGGCGGGGGCGCGCGCACAAAATCGGCGCGCGCGCTCGGCCTGCGCACGTCGGCCTCTATAGGCCTGCACAAAAAAAAATAAAAATAAATAAATAATAATTGGGGGAGCGATTTTTTATGTGTGAAAAAAAAAAAAAAAAAAAAAATAGAATTTTTTTTTTTGATTGATTGTTTGATTGATTGATTGATTGATTGATTGATTGATTGGTTGATTGGTTGATTGATTGATTGATTGATTGGTGGGGGAGGGGTCCTCCCTCCCCTCCCCCCGGCACACACACACACACACACACACACACACACACACACACACACACACACACAATCAATCAATCAATCAATCAATCAAATCAATCAATCAATCAAATCAATCAATCAACCAAAGCAATCAAGATCCTATTCGATACGATCTCGATTGGTTTTGTTGATTGATTGATTGATTGATTGATTGATTGATTGATTGATTGATTGATTGTGTGTGTGTGCGTGGGTGTGTGTGTGTGTGTGTAGTAGTGAATATTTCGACGTTCTAGAGGAAGATTCGATCGATTTTGCTCATCCTTTCGATGGAAGTGGCCTCGGCGGCCTCGCGCAACTTCCATCGAAAGGATGAGCAAAATCTATCGAATCTTCTCTCTCTCTCTCTCTCTCTCTCTCTCTCTCTCTCTCTCTCTCTCTCTCTCTC